TCTTTTTGAAACTTTGAACCAATTTAGTTCCCAAACTTAATTGTGTTAATTTAGTCCTTTTAACTAAATTTTGTTAACTTCATTTGATGTTTCAAAAGCATTTCTTAGTTAACATTAAAGCAAAAATGTGTCAAAGGGTGTAAACAACTCAAATACTATCATGAAACGCACTCATCAAATAAACCTAATAAAATTTAGTTAAAAGGACTAAATTCACATATTTCTAAAGTTTGTGGACTAAATTAGGCCAAAGTTTTAAAAAGAGACAAATTTCAATTTTGACTAAAAATTAAGGGAGCAAAAACATATTTAAGCCTAACATATATCATTGTTATATAACATGTCATTCCTTTAAACTCAATTTAGTTTTTATATTTTTTATTTTGTCTCGATTACAACTTTTTTAAATAGAAAACAGTTTCTTTACTCTCCAATTTAAAATAAAATAAATTTTTTATATAAATATTGCACAAATATTTTTACTAAAATTAATATTTTTATTAAATACTTTTAACAAAATTAAGTTTATTTATATTTATATTTTGCATTAAACTTTATTTAAATTTGATTTCAAATTTTAACTTATTTGCTTTAAATTTTTATAAAAATGTTTAAAATTATTTTTAAATTTTACATTTGAATTTATAAATTTTTTTATTTTTAAACCAACTCAAACATTTGTACAAAAATTATTGAATTTTATACATTTTAAAATATAAAATTATTTTAAAAAATTGAAAAAGTTAATAAATTTATTTTATTTTAAGAAATGTAATTGATAAATTAAATTACCAAATTTGTTAGTTAAAATTAATTTTGAAATTTTTCTACTAACGTTGCTTTCTATTAAGAACTTTAAAACAATTTTAAATAAAATTCAATGTAAACTATAAATATAAATAAACTTAATCTTTTTAAAATATTTAATAAAAGTATCAATTTTAAAAAAATATTTTTATAAAGTTTATATAAAAATTAAATTTTGTTTTAATGTGAAGAGGAATGAAATTATTTAATTTAGAAAAAAAGATTGAGTTGAGACAAAATAAAATTATACAATTAAGATTAAGATAATAATACATAGTATAACATTGACATGTAACACTACTGCCATATCACCCTACCACATGACATACATCATTTCATTTATTTTTGAGAAAATAGTTGTGTCCGACCATAATTATTGGTTTTGGTACCAAATCATATAATAATAGTTTCTTCAGTTCTACCTGATGAAGTTATTTTATCAAATAAATTTAAAAAGAACAATCATATGTCAATACTTAGTGAACCCATACTATTATTAAAAAAAAAGTACAATTTGATCAACTCATAAGAAAATATTTCACATTAAAACATGGATATAAAATAAAATTATATGCTCCTGATTACTTTAAATAAACAAAAGATGCATTTTAATTCATCTCCAACCTAAAAATAATAAGCACACCTACTCTCCAAAAAGAAATGGTGTCAATTGCCACAAGCAAGTGCAACATTTTGCACTACACGAGGACACAAAACAAATTTTGGACCCTTAGAACTATTCCAGCAAAGCCTCAAAGGATCACAATACCGATGCTATGAGACCTTTTATACCCAACAGTGGATTATCACCACCTCACCAAAACTGACACATTTCCCAGTGGTGACAATATCAAGTTCTAAAACAAACACAAATAAAAGCACAAATAAAGAATCATAAAAAATAACGATTATAGATAGATAATGATAATTTGATAACATTTTAATACTATCTACATGTCATTCTGTGATTGGTTTATGTTAGTTTTTATCATTATTATTGGTTCTAGAATAATTTTGGACCAATTACATAATGACACGTAAATGATGTTAAAATATTGTCAAAGTATTATTATCTATTATAGATTCAAATCAGGGTAAAAGTATTTAACCTTGTGATATCAAACGTAAAATTGATGTGGAAAAAGGAATAAAGACAATCCTTCAACTATTGCTAGGGTCACAGTCTCAAACCTTCACTTTCATAAACCTTGACGATATAATTTATTGTATAAGAGAGCAAATTTGATGATCTAATACATAGAGCATCTTTGAAATTTATAAAGCTATGCCCATCACATTAATTGCTATAATAACTTGTTGGAAATTTAGTGGAATTACAGAATTAAAATTCATGCAATAATTCTAAAAATTTATTGACTAAATGAACCGTATTTAATAGAAGATAATAGATTTAACATTAACATTTCATATTATCATGCATATTTCGAAAATGGATAGCACTATCTTTTACAACAAACCTAAAAAAGCAAAGTTATTATAATGCTTAAATTTTGGAGTTCCTCAATTTTATTCTTAACACTAGTAAGGACTTGTAAGATTATTTAGGTTTATATTAGAGTATGAGATGACCAATTTCATACAAGGAAATATATCGACTGAGAAATATTTTTTTAGTTTTCAGAATCTTTTAACTGAATATTCAAAAAATATTTATGCAAATATTTTTGGTGAAAACCTAGTTGTTGTTTAAATCGTACACGAGTTTAACAAGTGAGATCAATTTTTTACGAAGTTATTATCTGACTTTGAAGCTATACTTGTTCCAATATGATAAACCATGATTCTGTATCTCATTTGGATGCTTGCTTGAGTGAGCTTCTCCGAGAGCAACAACAAATCATAACATATGCAACGATAGAACAACAAAACAATTCTATTACCTCTTGTTACTATGGCCTATGCTGCCCAAGGAAAGAATAAGACTAAGGATGTGTGTTTTGTCCAATGCTACAGTTGTAAAGAATTTGGTCATTTTGGAGTTTGAAAATTGGTGTGAACGAGAAAAATGGTGCAATTGTGTCGTTAGAAAAAAAAGGATTGGAAGGAGGAAAGATGGACTAAATGAATACATGATAGTGATAATTATTTAAATAAAAATTATAAAAATAAAATAATCATAAACAGGCTTAATTATTAATTATTTATTTTCTAGTAGATTTTGATGTGAGGGTATGAAAGGGGTCTTGCAACATATATTTACGCTCAATAAAACGAATAAAACTTTTAAAAAATTGTGTTCGAATAAGAATGAAAAGTAAAATAGAATAAAATTGAAGAAAAATAAAAGTAAAAAAATAGTACTTCGTTTCAATTTTGTTTTAAAAATTACTTTCAATTTTTATTTTGTCTCTTCTAACAATGGAAATTAATTCAAAATTTCCATCCTTCTTTAGTTTCATCTCAGCCAATGATTTGCAGACTTCAAAAAGTTTCATCTCAGCCAATGATTTGCATGTAATAAGAAAATTACATCAATGTTGACATAAATTACTCTAAATCTAATAGAAAAAACAATTTCCAATTCCAGTATTTATTTATTTTTTGCCTAAAAATATTAATTAATTAACCATATTTTATAATAAAAATCAACGCACCAGACGATTAAAAGAAATTGTTCTAAATATTATTTTAACAAAGAGGGCTTAATATATAAAATATGAAAGAAGTACACTCATATTACAATGATGAAACTCCAATTTGGAGTGAAAGTTTTTTTCTTTTTTCTTTAAAGATCTATGAAATTAATTTTTGTTCTTATAAAATTAAATGTGCAAAAAGTGGAGCATGATGATGGCATCCAATGTAGTGGCTATAAAAGGTGAGAAAGAGTGTTTCTATATTCACATCATTTCTCACTCAAGAAAGATAAACATGTGTGGTCGACTAAGTTGAGTATGTCCCTTCTCTATTCTTATTTCTAATACCTTATTCATTTATAATCTTTTTTTCTTCCAATAATTTTCTATTGCTTCTTTCTTTGAGTTGTATATTTATAAGAATGCTCTTTTTCCATTCTTTTCATACATAAGCTTGTATAACAAGGTTCTCTCTCTATTTATAAGAATTAGTGATATTTTGTTATGATATGTAAACATGATCCAGATGTATGTTTCGACTATTTCATAATTAATGTTATTAAATCCTGTTTTTAATATGTCTATTAGATGAAATAGGAACACCACTAAATAATAAACCATCAAAATCAAACTTCATCAAATTGTATTTATTTATTTTTTCAAACCATGCAATTTCTATCATTGGTTTGGCTTGATAAGTGACGTAAAGCAGTAAAATGTGATTATACTTTTTTATACTAATTATTTATTCGGTATTTTAATTAATTAATACAAAGTTAACTTTTCAGCATAATTGTTTTATTATGAATTTCTAATTATAATTATATAATATTCGTCAACAATCAATAGGAAATGTTTTAGTTTAAATTCAATCCTTTCTAGTTCTTCAAAGTTAAATAATTGTGAAACAGTACATAATAAGATTATTTTAATCTTAAAAATATTCGCATTAAATTGCAGTTTTATAATTTTCATCTGAACAAAATCTCATCATATTGCAGACATTTTTTTTATTTTAAAATTTTGGATAATTATTTTTTTCTCAAAATGAACCAAATCATATATAATTACTTTCTCTTAATTTCGGCAAACATTAAGATTAACATCATCCTTAATAATTTTGGTGACTAGTTCACTCTTAATACAGTGCAGAAGTTTAGAGAGAGAGAAAGAGACGATTTTCAAAACGTAAATAGTGTTGAGGATTTGGTGTTGGGGGAGGAAGATGAAGATAAGAACAAAAAGAGAAAATAAAGGAAAAAAATAAAGTGGTAATTGTATTAAAAATAATTTTAAATATGTGCATTTTACAAATAATTTAAAACCGTAGTGACATGTTAACGTCTTTTGATACTTACATATACCTAATTAAAGGACAAAGTTTACAATAATTTAAAATGTTAGGAATAAAATGCGCCAAAGAACAAACTTTCAAGAAAATGATAGATGGGAGACATTCACCACCCGATCTAATTCAACTTCAACCACAACAACTGATAAAAAAGAATCAATAATCTAAAAATAAATAAATAAATGACAAAACCAACTCTTTAGTACATTGCATTTTGCTTATCATTTTGTTATGCATTACTAATGTATATTAAAATTACTTTTGTTGTGCATATTACTATGATGTTCTTATTAATGTATATGTCTATATGTTTTCATCTTAACTTTTGGTAAGATCATGGTTACTGTTTTCATGCCCAATTATTTATGTACATGACTGTAGACAAATTCACAGTTCTCAATTCTAAATTAAATTTACTCACACTAGTACAAAAACAGCGTAAAACTTTGAATATTTTCTTGAATTCGAAAACAACGTCATATTGAGATACGTTAAATTGACATTGAATTTTTTAAATTCGACGTCGTCGAATTTTGTCAATATACGACATTAATTTAACATCGAATTTTGTCAATATACAACGTTAATCAAGTTTTTTTTTAATTAATTGTAATTCTTTTTTACAACTCTACCAGATCTGAAAAGCAGAACTATGAACGATAATATAGAATCAACAACAAATAACAATAACAAACAACAAACAAGTTCAATCAAACAACAAACAAGTTCAATAAATAAATTTTTCAAAACGAAAACGAAAACTAACATTCAAAAGATGGGTTCATCGGAATAAAGTGTTGCCACCAGGGAGAGAGAAAACAGAATGCGCCAATGAAGGACAAAAACACGAAAATAATCGGTGAAAACAAAACGAAAATCATACCTAAAGTAGTTTACTAACATGCATTTGTATCAAATGAAAGAAAGATTACATGTGATGATCGTCAAACTTCGTTAAAAAAAAGTTTGAGAAGAAAAAAGGGTATAACAAACTAAGAAAAAGTGAATGAATTTTCAATATAACGCTCAAATTTTTATTGAATTCACTAACCTTTTGACGTCTAAAGCTGAGACATTCGACATTTTATATCCTTTTACGTCAAATTATAATTCTAAACAACGTTTAATAATTGCATTTATTTACAAAATTGTCATAGGTCATTTTTAACATTGGCTATTGAGTAGTTAGACGTTAAACGCGTGACGTTATATGCTGTTTTTGCACTATTGTCGCAGGTTGAAAGAGCTTGAAATCACTTCCATTGTTTTTGTGAAGATTACTAAAGATGAAGACTTTAGGGTTGTCGCATGTTCTCCAAATTCTTACATGCATTCTGCTACTCACTCCCTCGTTTTCTAAAGATGATCGAAAGGTAAATAACATATATCCCATATACTTCTGCTATATCCTCTAATTATGTAAAATACTTCAGAAGCTCTATCTTTCCATAAATTACTCTTACGTTCTTATCTTTTAATGTTTTTTTTAAACAATTCTAATGAGACATTTTTTTAAAAAAAAATATTGGAAATCTTTCAAGTTAAGAAGAGCTTGGATTATTTTAAAAAAAAACAAATTAACCTAAAAATGATTTTATGGAAGGTTGAACATAGTATTCTCAATGTTTAAGCATCCACATGAAATTAAGCCATATTAGCCATATTAGGACTATTATTTTAAATTCATCTTTATTTTTTAATTTATGTTGTTCATATTGTAATCTAATACAGATTTACATAGTCTACATGGGCGAATATCCCAAGGGCGTGGAATTCACAGAGTCACTTCACACTAGTATGGTTCAAAGTGCCATCAGCAGGTCATATATTATTACACAATTAATTCTAGCTCCCAATTTTCATTAGAACATTCATCAAAAACTGCTACCTATTTTCGTTTCTTATTATATTTCAAATGTTAGCTTTTATATAATTGTTGCTTTGTTTGGAGATAAGAACACTCCATTAATATTTTTGCGTACATATAATCATTTCAATATATATGAACGTGTGAGCTCCGATATACAACAATTTTCTAATAATTAAAGAAAAATACAAAACAAATTATATTTAGTTATAGAAATGTGTCAAACTAGACATATTTTAAATTTATAGGCTTTGATTGATTATACTTACACAGCAGATTTACACTATTAAGGGGGTTAGTTTAACATTGTTTATTTAATAATATTTCTTTGTTTGCCTGCGTAACATTTACAAATTTAAGTAATCTTCTGACTTATTTTGAAGGATTTTTCAATAGAATGCTCTAAAAGAAGCAATTCTTTTATTTTATACCTTTTAGATCTAAAACTATGAGTGTTTTAACTAAAATAGAACTCACAATTTTTCTCTCTCTTCCTTTTAACTTTATAACTCATAATTAAAATAACTTAATAAAATTCGAAATGGCATATATCCACCCAGAAAACTTGCACCAGATACTTTGGTACACAGCTACAAGAGTTTCAATGGATTTGTGGCGAGGCTAACCAAAGAAGAATCAGAAAGAATGAAAGGTAATTTTAATATGATTGTGGGTCTATATGTAACTGTAATCATGATGTATGCATTCTGTGAAAATTTGGAATGTTTGGCAGAAATGGATGATGTGGTTTCTGTTATTCCAAATAGAGTCCACAGTGTCCAAACATCAAGGTCCTGGGACTTTCTTGGCTTCCCTGAAAATGTCCAAAGAACAAAGGTAGAAAGTAACACAATCGTTGGAGTACTCGACAGTGGAATTTGGCCTAATTCCTCAAGCTTCACCGACGAAGGCTTTGGTCCTCCACCACAGAAATGGAAAGGAACATGTCATAACTTCACTTGCAATAAGTAAGTGATGTTTGTTATAACATGCTACAACACATATACCTAAATTAAAGTAATAAAATTTTCAACATAATAATTATTAAAAGATAAAACTGACCATTGATTTACTTATCATGAATGCTTGCCTAATGATTTGTTTATAGCAAAATCATTGGAGCAAAATATTTTCGTCTTGATGGTGTGTTCGCCCAAGAGGACATCATATCTCCAACTGATAACATTGGTCACGGGTCTCACTGTGCATCAACTGCTGCTGGAAACTCTGTTAGCAATGCAAATTTGTTTGGGCTTGGCTCAGGAACAGCAAGAGGAGGAGTTCCATCAGCACGCATTGCTGTGTATAAAATCTGTTGGACAAATGGTTGTGAAACTGCTGACATTCTTGCAGGATTTGATGCAGCCATTATGGATGGTGTTGACATTATATCTCTTTCAGTGGGATATGCAGGCGTCATACACGTGGAATATTTTCAAGATGTCTTTGCAATAGGAGCTGTACCAGAGAGTGTCGGGCGCCGTACGAGGGGCGCCGAAGTGCCAGGCGCCGTACGAACGACGCCCGAAGTATCGAGACGCCCGCAATGCCGGGCGCCGTACGAGGGGC